GCAGCGACGGTGGCGAGTGTGGTTCGAGGAGGTCTGTGAAGAACTCGCTCACGCCCTCGTAGCCGTGGGGGTAGGGGAGAGATAGACAGCAGGCTGAGCCAGGTGGGCACAGGGGAGAGAAGGACGCGAGGGAGACTTAGGGGCTCACAGGACCCAAGGAGGCTGGTCGAACATGCAGACTCAAAGCCGGGTGTGTGGTCCCAAAGGGCTGGGCCTTGAATTCAGCCACCCAGAGTGGGAGGAGCTACAGGACTTGCGCAGAGGAGAAAACACCCTGCCACCCTACCACTCCTGCGCACAGCTTCAGCATCTCATTTAATCACCTTCCCAAGGCGGTTTGACGCCATCACTTGGGGGATGTGGTGTGGCCAAAGGCCCCCTCCTCCCATTCTAAACCAAATACCCCTTGCCCCCACATGGCCTGGCCCCAGCCTCCCTGTGTGTAAACTGAGGACTCCCGGGGGGAGCTCCTGTGGGCGTGACTGGGAGGGGCTGGGATGTGGGTGATGCCTGAGTCCGTTTCCTCCTTCCCCCGGTACCTGCAGGGAGTTCCCTCCATGCTGCATGCTCTTTGAGCATCAAAGCCAAGGGACAGAGACCAGGCACCCCAGCAAGGCCACCACACTGACGCCTGCTCCCCTAACAAGTGGGCCTGCATATCCTGAACAGAAACCGTCGGTGTCTGCCTGGGGCCTGTTTCCCAACACAGATGCAATTGCGGTATCTGTAAACAGTCTTCGAGAGCCACCCACTGAGCACATTTCAGATCTAGGGTGAGGATTTCGCCGACTTCCAAAAACTGCTTTGAGAGAAAGTTGACATGGAGTGAGCGCCCCCCACCCGCCCAAGCCAAGTTGCAGGGATGAGAACTGGGCACACAACCACAAGAACAACGGCCAAGACAGGAAGCCTGTCCCCAAAAAGGGACAGTGCGCCCACATCAGGAGGCGTTCCAGGCACTCCCCCACCCTGCAGTGGCAGCTGTGACTCCACCGAGGACACTGGGCCTGGTGCTGAGAGATACTGAGACCCTCGCACAGCCTCCAGGACGTTCCTCACAGCTGTTGGTAAAAGCTGGGAGGAAGTGAAGGTTCGGCCACGGGCAGGGCAGGAGCATTATGTCTTATGGAAAAGGCTGTCCCGGGCCAGGCAGGGGGCGCTGCCACACCGTCCACACTCTTCTCTGTTCGGCAAACAACACTGTGGTTTTGAGGAAGCCTGAGGCCAAGAGCGGCAAGTAGTGGTGCCCGGAGTGAAAACAAAAATGGGTGAGAGTTGGCATGTGCAGTATTTCCTCACTCGGTCATCACAACACTGTCCCCATTTTACAGACGAGGAAGCAGAGGCACAGAGTTAAGTAACCGGCCCCAAACACGAAAAGAACCTTCAACAGGTGGACACATGTTCGCTGTGAGGTAAAGGTGCTGATGATGTCCACGGCAGGGGTCCGTCCAGGCTCGCCGAGTGCTGGCCCCTGGCCGTGTGCTTTACCTTCCTCGCTTTGGGCGTCCTGGCGGCCCTGGGGACTGGGACCCAAGGGTTATCCCCATTTTACAGATAAGGACACGAAGCTCTAAATGGCAGCACCAGGAATATGAACCAGGCCCTTCGGTGCTGCCTGTGCCTTGAATACATGTGGTGCTGGGCGTCCCCTGCCAGGACCTGGGGCTGAAGGACATGGCAGACCTGGGCCCCTTGGGACCATCAGCAGACATGCTGCTAGGTTTCCAGGGCAGAGATACAAGCAGAGGAGGAGAGCTGAGATCCGCTGACAGGCCACCAGGGAACCTAAGCCGTTCCCTCAGCAACTGCTTTGCTATCCACAGAAGAGGCCCAGCTCACAGCTCCAGGCAGCCTGGGGGGGGTGGACTGGGGCGTGAACGAGCCCCATGGGGCCAGCCCAGGGCCAGGCACTGCGCACACACCATCTCCTTGGTTCAGGCAGCGTCAGGTCAGGGGTGCAGGGCCCCACTCCCAGCCGCACTGCTTGGTAGCTGCGTGACCTCGGACATACCACCCACGCCCCCTGGCTCCACATGGCCATCAGTAAATGGAGAGCCGGGTGGTCCCTGGCACACTGGGTGGATGTGAGGATGAAATGAGGCACTGGGGGTGAAGGTCTCAGGGCAGGCTAGGTGTGCAGGGTGTCCCCATCACCAGCGGCCACCGCTGTCATTACTGCCCAGCCTGCACCCTCTCTGCAGGGTGCTACCAGACATCCACGGCCCAAAGTACAGGGTGAGGGGGTCCAGGACCCACGCCTCAGGTTGGGCCCCAGGAGTGCCCCAGATCCAGGCTCGGAAATCAGGTGAGGAGAGACCAGGGAGCAGCTGCCATCTCCTGGACACAGCACCCCCTGGGGCCCTCGCTGCACGAGCCCCCCGGGGCCTTCCTCAGCACCTGGCTCCTTCACACGGTCTCTGCTGGGTGTGGCCTCGTCACTCCAGGCCTCGCCTGCCTGGGGAGCCTTTTCTTGGCTTCCCTGGAAGAAGCCTCCCATCCACACTGGCTCCCAGTGACGTCCCTCCTCTGAACAGCCGGGACGCCCTCAGGATGCCCGGCCCAAATCACACAGGTGCTGGCTGAGAGGGGTGACTCATGTCCCCACACAAGCCCACAGCCCAGACGCCAAGTTCCTGCTCTCCCCCTCCCCGCCTCCTTCTAGAGCTTCTACCCCAGCAGCCCAGCATCACGCCGACCTGTCCCCTCAAATCCCCTGACGCGGCCACCTTTTCGCCGTTGTCACCTCCATGTCCTCCCTGATTTAGATCCTCCGACTTATCATTGTTCCCCTGACGCAGCCTCAACTCCCTTGCTCTCTCTCATTCTGTCATACTTGCTCATCAAATGCCCACCTCTCCATCCAGGCTGCACCCAGGGTGACTACAGAAAAAGGGGCCACTGTCCCAAAGCTCTCAATTTCTAGTCATGAACACAGACCTCAGAGGGCCAGCTCATCTCGCTCAGAGTGAAGGGCCACATGGCGGGCGCCCCTCTGACTCCCCCAGCCCCTCCTGTGCTCACACGAGGCCATCGGGCACAGGCTTGGGATCCTGACGGGGGGAGGGGGGCTCCTCTTCTTACGAGGCCCTGCTGCAGGCCGTGCTCCCACACTTGGCTCACAGAGGAGCCCTGGGCACCCGGTCCTCTGAGGGCAGGGCCCTGGTGGCCGTGCTCACACCACCCCCGGCGTCTGTAGCAGTTGGGACGCACAGTGGGCCCTCCGTAAACCACGTGACTGAGGGAGCTAGGGCTGCCTCCGAGCCTGGGTTCCTGTGGCTGTGAACTGTGATGCTGACTGGGCTTGGCCTGTGTGCGCTGAGGAGTGGAGGGGCCGAGCGTCAAGTTCCCCAGGCACAGCGGTGTCCCAGCTCCCTGCAAACGGCAGCGGAGTGGTCCCCATGCTCCTGTGAGATGCTAGCCTCCCTGAGGAGGAATCATCTCCTGAAAGTCTGCACATTCACCGAGCAGTGACACTGGCTCTACCTCCAGGGCAATTACTTAATAAAGGCGAGAGCCAAGGCCTGGAGACAGAGACACCGGGAGAGGGCAAGTGCCCGGGCTGCTCGGGACCAGGGGGAGTGAAGCATCTCTCTGCCCCTCACCTGCTGTGATGGGGAGTTGCTTGGCCACATGTGAAGCTCAGCACAGGGCCGCCATGACCACCATCATCACTGCGGCTAACCATCCCCTTGAGGATTTTCTGGGTGATGTCTCCTGCTGCGCCCCTCGCTGAGTTGGGATCTGAGGGCTGCAGGAGACAGCAGGCACCACAGCCACGGGGGCTGGCCAGATCTGAGGGTGTCCCCAGCACCATGGCTCAGGGCAGGAGAAGGAGCAAGGCCCTGCCACCACCCTGCGGTATGACTTGGGACAATCTCTCCCCAACTCCACGTAAACTGGGGGATTGTAGTCCCTCCAGTGTCCTTTCAGCTCTTTAAATCTACAAGGGCCCAAAAGACCAGCTGAGATTCAGCAAGAAAGGCAACTGCTGATGGCACAGGATCAGGAGAGGGAGGGGAAAGAACGTGTGTGTAGATGCAGGCCTACTATGCACCCTGTAACCCATCTGCAGTGGGGCTGAGCCTCAGCGGGCTCTTACCCCGGCCCCACAGAGCCCACAGTGAGGGGCGGAGCTGGTCAGCCCTGCGCGCCCGCTTGAAGCCACCCGTCTACAGGCCGGTGAGGGTGGTGTGCAGCCCCGGCACTCACCTGGGAAGGCGTTGATGTCGATGACGGCGTGCTGCCCCGTCTGGTTGTTGATGATGATGTCGATCCCAAACAGCGACACACCCAGGGCCTGCCGCAGGGCCCGGGACAGCTCCCGGATGACCTCGTCACTCGGCCGCTCAAACACACCCTCGATCTTGTCCAGCTGCCAACACACACACGCGGGGGTCAGATCACGGGTGGGGAGGCGTAGTGCCACGTCACACACACAGAACCCCCGCCCCCAAGTGAGGTGCCACGAGGCCGGGCCTTACACCCAGGCACGAGGCAGGACAGAAAAGCCAGCGTCAGAACGAGGATGGCCATTTCCAAGTCCTGCCGAGAGCCGGGCAGGTGATAGGTGCGCAGCAGATGTCACCTCTCTAGTCCTCATAACGACCAGGGAGGTGGGCATCATTTTTCAGCATTTTACACACAAGGAAGCTGAAGCTCAGAGAGGGTCAGGGGCCGGTCCAGGGTCACACAGCTCAGGGCTGGATTTGGACCCAGGTATTTTAGCCTCTTAGCAGGGAGGAAGGAGGTGGAAAGTCTGTCATGAACCCAGGAAGACTTTGTGGTGCAGGGAGCATATGAGCTGGACCTTGAAGATGGGGAGGTACAGAGGGGACTGGTGGGGGAGCCCAGGTGAGAGCACAGTGGAAGCAAACATTCAGAGGCAAGACCTTCAGGAGAGAGCTGGGAGCAGCTGGAACAGCTGGGACAGAGGTGGGCAGCAGAGGTAAGTTTGGTCCGCATCACCGCACTGGCCCACCATTGCCCGAGCCTCAGCCTTCACTCATTGGCCAGTCCTGGTGGGGAGGGCGGGTCGCAGGGATCCTGAGTGGGGCTCACCAATCTCCCCTCTGGACAAGTCATTATGGTATTTCCACACTAACTCAGTGGGTTTCCCCAGAGTCTACTCTGCTGCTCCTGCCCAGCTCCTGGGTCCAAGTTCAGCTTTTAGCAAAGCTTCCACAGGGCTTGGGGGCTGTCCCCTGGACATCGTCCTGATACTGCTCATATTCTGTTCTATCGCAGCTGGCCTGGGACAGGCACACAAGTCTTCATGGGCTGCACAGGCCCTGGCCAGGGCCTCCAAGTTAGTAGAACATTGCCCTGAGAAGGACTGAAGTCACAAGGATTTGGATTTGAATCTTGACAGTGACTACCTAGCTCTGTGGTCTTAGGGGAAAGTACTTGGCCTCTCTGTCCCTCAGTCTGCTCATCTGCAAAACAGCACCAGTGAGGCCTCCATCCCAGCTGCTGGGAGGAATCACAAGGTCGTTGATGGGGTGGGGACAGCACACACCTGCCCAGGAGGAGGGGCTCTACTTGCGTTTAGGGCATAGATGGCACCATGTCACCCCTAAGACAGCTGGAATGGGGCTCACATGTAATGCTCAGTAGATACCGATTCCTAAGGGGTGTGGTGGGCTCAGGGTCAAAGGGGAAGCATGGGGGTTGATCCATCAGAAATAAAATAAAAACTGGGCCACAAAGTTAGATGTGGAATTACCATGTGACCCAGCAATTCCACTCCTAGGTGTGTGACTGATATGCCAACGTTCACAGCTGCATTATTCACAATAGGCTAAAGGCAGAAACAACCCAAAGGTCCATAAACAGATGAACGGATAAGCAAAATGTGTTACCCACACAATGGAATATTATTCCACCATACAAGGCTACTACACGGATGAACCTTGAAAATACTAGGCTAGGTGAGAAAAGCCAGACGCAACAGGTCACATATTGTATGACTTAACAGGAAAGGTCTAGAGTAGGACAATTAAGGAAGTAAAAAGCAGATTAGTGGTTGCCAGGGGCTGGGAGGAGGGGGAATGGGGAGTGATGCTTAATGGGTAGGGGTTTTCTTTGGGGTGATGAAAATGCTTTGGAACTAGATAGAGGTGGTGGTTGTACAACATCGTGACTGTACTTAACACCACTGAATTGTTCACATTAAAGTGACTACTTGTGTGTTATGTGAATTTCACCTTGATTTAAAAAAAAAAAAAGTGAGACTGGGCCAGGCAGGCTGGGGACAGAGCCCCAGGCACCCAGGACAAGTGGCCCTCACCCCTAGCACAGGAAGTTAAAGTGGCTGATGGGGAACTTCCAGGCATGTGCAGAGCAGGGACCACACAGCGGGGCACTGTCCTGCTCACTGTGAAAGTCACCCCCAGCGGCTTCATACAGCAGCCAGGGCGCCTCCTGCCCACAACCCCGCAGCCTCGGTGTCTCATCCAGGGGAGACACTTTCTGAGGGGTGGTGGCAGCCTGGCTGCGTGACAGGCACTTGTCACTTAGCACCTGTCTGAGCCTGGGAAGGTGCCCGCCTCCTGGTCACTCTCACCTGGGGGTAGTCAGAGGCTTGGCCCAAGGCAGCAGCTTGACCACTGGTCCTGCAGTCCGGGGCTCTCACCGCACCAGAGACCCGGGTGGACACCTGGTGCCGCTCACTCCCCGCTGTGTGCCCTGGGCTGCAACGGATCCTTCTGGGTCTTTCTCACCCCGCAAATGGGGTAATAAAAATGCCCACACCGTGGGGCTGTGGTGGGACCCAAGAAGCTAAGGGGGAAGGCCCGTGGTGCAGGCCTGGCCGGGACGGCTGCTGCTTTATTACGTCTCGTGACTCACTATTTACAAAAGCTCTTTCTCAGCTCAGCTAAGGAATCTCAGAAATCCTTCCGAAGCCCTCTGATTATCTGAAATAAAGAGGCGATGGAGACGGTGAGAGCCCCCTCACCCCGGTCCCCTTCTCCTATCACAGCTGACACAGACTGAGCACCTACTGCGCACCCGGAGCTGCCCCAGGCGCTTCTCACCCAGTAACGCCCCGAATCCCACGACCATCTCATACAGCAGGATGGGGAAACCGAGGCTCAGAGAGGTATCGCAATTCGCCTGAGGCCACACAGCTGGAACACTGTGGAGCTTGGGTTTGACCCCAGGCAGTCTCATCAGCCAGAGTCACATTCTTACCCAATACCCTACACTGGTGTCTGGGGGCTGGCAAGTTGGATGTGGGAGCTGGGTGCACCCTCGGGGCATCCGGCCAGGGAGGGAGGTGGGGCTTCGAGGCTGGGGCAGGGCTCCCTGCACCTGCATGAAGCCAAGGCGGGGATCAGAGGGATCCCAGTGGTGGGAGGGGGGGATGCTAAGAGCCTTGTCTGGACACTTGTACCTGGGAATGGAGCTGTCTGTGCCTGGCCGGCCTGCAGTGGGCCCGGAGGGCCTCACATCCCAAATGGAAAGGGGCTGGCTGACTTCTTTTCCCTTTTCTCTTCTACACGTTGTCAGCCCTGGGGGACTCCTGCGTAGCAGTCATGAGCTAAGGGGAAGGCGGAGGTGGCAGTGGGGCCTGGAGGTGGAGAGAAGGCTCCACAGTGTCTCTTGGCCAACCTTTCCCACTTAGCAGATGGAGACACAGGCTGAATGGTAGGTGGGTGATTAGCCAGCGAGGTCTCTTTGCTTCTGGCCCTCATGCTGACCCTCTGGCATCAATTACAGACCAGACTAGAGCTGCGCTGTGCCACGGGAGTGGCAGGGACAGCCTCTCGGCAGGTCCACGGAATGCTGACTCCCTCCAACAGTCCCTGGCTGAATAAGGTCCTGAATAAGAGCCTCGCAGGGAAGACGCCCTGTGGAACTGGGCCAGCCTGAAGTTTCCGCAGCTTTTATGAGACCAGAACCTTTTCTTGCACAGAACATCTATTTACACCTTATAATGTGCACAGTCAGGCGCCGAGGGGCTCTGTTTAGAGTCGAGCTCTTGACCACAGAACTTGTTCCTGGGGAACATCTATCAGCATCTTGAGTGACGCTGGTGTTCCCCCAGGTCCCTGTCCATGCCTGGGCTCTGTAGAACCCTCTGCACACAGCTGGCTCCTCAAAGGAAACAAACAAGAAATGGACAGGCAGCCTGAGCTGGGGAACAGGAGGCCATGGGCAAGCATAGGCCCTAACCTGGGATGGAAGGGAGTGAGGTCCAGGGATGGGGGTGTGCTGTGGAGGGGCCACTGGCAAACCCTCTAAGAATGGCCAGGATGGCTGTGACTTAGGGGAGCAGGAGACCCGGCAGATGGCTCATTTCAGGGGGCAGTGGTGGCAGAGACCACTGGCTCTCTGGACATGGAGGAACAGCAGGAGGTGGCCCAGTGCCAGGCTCTAACTGCTCCGAAATTGCCAGGGAGATAAGAAACTCTAAATTCCTGGAAGCCTCAGCTTTGGAATCAGACTAATCTGGAGTCAAATCCCATCTCTGTCCCCAAGTGAAGAACTCTGTAAATTTGGAGAAATTATTTAACCTCCCTGAGCATAGCCCTCCCCTTGGCGAAGTGGGGGGATCCACCCATGCCTGCAAGGCTATTTCAGGCCGTGGGGCATCTAGGACAGAGCTTCCCACCCAGCGACACTCACTGACAGCAACCCTGAGCCCACTGCCCATCGTGAACCACCCCAGCCCCCACAGAAGGACACAGCAGGCTCTTAACAAACGCTTACTGGACTCATGAGAACAAGGAAAGAAAAAGGGAAATTGACATAGTGCTGTCTCCTGCCCCTTTTTTAAAAATCAGGGAAAAGGCAGATTAGAAAGTAGATCTTCAAATTCCTCGTGACTGGGGAGGTTTCTTCAGGCTGGGAGGAAAGTTAGATAATCTATCTGGAGCGATCTAGCGGTGAGATGGCCATCAGCACAAAACCCTGAGTAAGGAAGAGGGGTCTGGAACCTCCCTGGGCCTCTGGCATGGGGGCACAGGTCCTCCCACCCTGCCCCGCTGGATAGCTAACGGCACCCAGGCTCGGCAGGAGGGACGTACCGCGGTCAGGACTGATGACGACTCTGGCTTCGACACGTTGTGGCTGTTGAAGAAGATGGATTCACGGTCTGAAAAAGCAAAGACAGGAAGGAGCCAGAGTTAAAAGCTTAAGGCAGGGACAGTGATTCCACCACCCGACACCAGGGGACAGCACCATCCCAGGCCACGGCGGCCTTCGGGCTCAGCATCCAGCAGCTGCCGCCTGGGGCCCCAGCAAGCCGGGGACCCGCACCCCGAGGAAACACGACACCATGGATGGACACACGCCCAGTCAGAGCCCCTGTTTCAATTTTTCCTCCCATATAAAAATGAATGGCTCAATGAGCCCGCTTCTGCCAACATCTTACAGTATCATACCTGGTTCTCCCCAATACCTAATGCCTCCTTCCCAAGTGTGTCTAGAGTGTCCTACAAACATGGACCAGAAAGGGGGCTGAGTGAGTGGGAAACGCCGTGTATGCGAGTATCAAGGACCCAAAGTGAAGAGGTCGACTGATGCCATTTATTCCAGCATTCTCGATCCCTCCTGGCTCTGCCCAGGGAACACCTTCCCAGAGAAGCACTTCAGAAATGGCCTGGCTGCCACCTTGGCATGTGAGCATTTAAAATACAACGGGTTCTCCTCTTTCGCCATCTACCGAGGGGACAAAATAGGAAATCAGAACATGGGCATCTGTAGGACCCACCCAGGAAAGCACACAGAACAGCTTCTGTTTGGCTGTGGAAGCCGGCACAGACCCTTAAAATACCTTCCACCTTTTCCCACCCCATCCCTCCCTGATCCCACTGCACCCTGGGCCCCCTCACTCCCATGGGGGTCCCTGGAGAGACAGATCAATCTCAAGATTGATGAGAACAAGGAGCTGCTGGTTTGTTTATTCATCCCCTGGAGAGTAAAGGAAGGTCAGTTGGTCAGAAACATGTTCCCAAGCATTTGGAAGTGTGGGTACACAAATGCAAGAATCACAAAATCATGAGCCTCTGGGCTGAGATCTGGTAAAGATCTGGTATCATCACGTGACGACCACAGGTCACGGGGATGGTATGGGCCATGAACCCCAGTGTGGCTCTGGCAGCCTCTGCTTTAGTCCTTCCGGGTAGGGCGTGGTGGCTCCCGTCCCTCAAGACATACGGGGACCCAGGCCCCTAAGCACAGGGCAGGAAGGGCCCTGGCTGAGCACTGCTGCATGCCAGGGGCCACGACGAGGGGGCACCTGCTCTGGATGGCGACGCCCCACCCCCAGCTCCAGGATTATGGCCACAACAGTCATGCATGAGGAAGTGTTTGGGGCGGAGGCCAAGCAGGCAGGAGCTGAGATGTACCTGGCGTCCTTCCTGCTAGCGGGGCACGCAGGCCCCTTGCCGCCCAGGCGTGCCCGACAGTCCTCCTGCCACTCCGACCAGAGCCAGTCCAGACGGGGGGCACGAGAGACGGTCCTGGGGAGGAGCCTGGGGAAAATAAACACCCTGCAGGACTTGCATCAAGCGGCCCCACCGACTTCTACTCCTGGGCACTGACAGCCAAGAAGAGTGAGCCTTCGGGGGTGGCAAGCCCTGTGGGCTGGAGGCTGGAGTAGGGCTCGAGCAGCCGAGATGGGCATTTGGGCCTTCTACAGACACTACCCACCTTCCCACCCCATAGCCCAGTCTGGCCCAGTCTCACTGAGCTCAGGGTGCCTCCCACCCACCCTGTGGGTCCCCAAGGGCAATGGCCAGGGTGGCAGAGCAGGCCTGGGTAGTGAGAAAGGCCACTCAGAGTGGATGGACACAGCCAAGTTCAGGGGGGCTGGGAAGCCTGCAAGAGCCACAGGGAACACCATGGGTGTGTAGCTCTGCCAGGAAGGGAAGGAACTGGGCGCTCAAACTGGACAGACCATGTCACCCAACAGCTTCTTGTGGCCAGATCGAAAATGTGGACCTTCTCAAAGGGGACTCGTTTCTCCTCCGGGCTACCTCTGACCCGGGGGCTCTGGCCAGAGGACTGTTCAGCAGGGTAGGGAGGCTACCCTTTTCTCAAGCCCTCCCCCTGTGTGGCCTGAGTGGGAGTCGGAGGGAGTGGCAGCAGCTTCCAGCCACTTGGTGACCTAGGAGATGATGCGAAGGGAAGCCAAGACAGGTCAGAAAGGGTCGGATCGTCGCTTGGTGTCAGCTCCCTGGGCAGCTTCACGATACCCAGTTCCCTCAAGATAAACCTGGCCAGGCCCCTGCACCTTGATCAGAGCAGCACCCTGGATAGGCCCATCCACTCCGCTCCCGGGCTAGTCCCGAGACACAGAGTGCCCAGGTGAAGAACCACAGATGATGCCTTCCAGGAGAGGGAGGGCAACAGGAGCAGTATGGGTGCTTTTGTCCCCAGTTTACAGACGAAACAAACAGGTTCAAAAGAAGAAGAGTAAGGGACAAGTTTAGCCCCCAAATTTCCCAGTGACTCTCTGAGGCAGCTGTGCGCAGTGGCCACACTTTCTTCAGCTTCATTTGCTCAATCTTTACATCTCTCGCTGGGGAGTAGGGAGCATGTCACAGGCGCAGATGGTGGCCCAGGTCTGTTCCCAGATCCCCTCCCAGATCCCATAAGAACATCGGCTCCGCAGAGGGGCCAGCCCTGGCTGCCTTGCCCAGCAGTGTCCGAGTGCCCACCGTTTCCTCTGGGGCCCTTTATCTGTGCCACAATTTACCCTTTTATTACTTCTTCCCTGAGGTGCAGTTCCTCCCACTAGAATATAAGCACAGGAGGGCAGGGCACTTAGCTGACTAGCTAGGTCCCTGCTGGATCCCAGCCCCTGGTACGGGGCTCAGCGCATGGCAGGTTCAAGGAAACACCTGAGGGGCTCTAGATGTGAGATCAACAAGTGTGGCCCGCCACCTGCATTTGTAAATAAAGGTTTATGGAATGCAGCCACGCTCATTCGTTTACACGTTGTGTACAGCTGCTCTTACACTCCAACTGCGGCATGACGGAGCTGGAAATATTTACTCTCTGGCCTTTTGTAGAAAAAGCCCACTGACCGACCCCTGCTCTATGTGGTAGACAATGCCATTCCTTTCTATACCCCGAAAGGAAAAAAGGCCCACGAGGTAGAGTGTAATAAAGGCACTGCGTCCGCAGAGGAAAAGAAACAGAAATAAACCCACTGCACGGAAAGCGGAGCAGAGAGACGTGCCCATCACGACTCTGGAACTAGTGGAGAGCGGGGAGCAATCTCCCCAGGGCTGTGAACCATGGGCAGAGAACACGTGTTCCTGGCTCTGGCACAGGCCAGCTTCAACCTTCTCCATGAGAACGTGACTTCAGTTCCAGCCAGAGCGACAGCAAGATGCCCATGGTTGTAAGACATACCTGACTTCAGAGCTGATAACAGGTGAAACCCAAAGAGCACCGGAAAATCAAAAGGACACAGCAGCTGTGGAGGGAAAGCCGGCGTCCTCATCACCACCCCAGCTCCAAAGAATCCCACTCAAGGAGTCCCCACCTCCCTGCATGGACAGGGGAAGCCGCGGACCTGCCACACTGGGCAACGGGAACCAGAAAGCCAGGAGGGGGCTTCAAAGAGGCCAGAGCCCCAAAGCCTCCCGCTCAATTGTGCAGCTTAAAAGGCTGCTGTCATGCTGTGCTTCTCATCCGGAAAGAGAATACATGTGTAAAAAGAACAGAGCCTACGGCAGCTCGTTGGCATGATGCCCTGAAGACACTGGACACGGAATCAGCCGTGGGCGCAGAGGGACGGACACACTGAAAGTTACTCAGCTTGCCTGAGCATCACACACACTTCTCTGTGAGTTCTGGGCTCACCCACTCATTTACTCAGCCACTGACTGCATTTTACGTTAAGCTGGTGACCTGGAAACAGCCACAAGAAGACACAGAGGCGGCACCCTTGTCCTCAGACACAGGACAGAGTCCACACCATGCCACCGGAGGCTCCCAGATGGAAACTGGCCCCGCACTTTCCAAGCAGGAGAAAAGGGTTGGGGAAGACTTTTTATGTGTAAAGGAAGGAAATCAGGTGGTAATTTCTTTCGGAGATGGAGTGAAGACAAGGATGTCCTGAGCCCGGAAAGCCCCCCGCCTGGCTGGGAAAGCCGCCTGCACGCAGAGGGAAGTGGAGACGTGCAGTCCCGAAGTGTCTGCTTTCTGGGTTGTGTTAACCGAACGGCTGAGAGAGGACGCCAAGAGCTGGACTTCATTCAAGAGGAGGGGCTCAAAGCCACGAGGAGCGGATGGTGACAGGAAGTCCCAGCGGAGGGATTTCAGGAAGACACATCTGTTTGCTCAGGGGGAGATAATGTAGCCCGGGTATTTCGTCTAGTGACGGCGGGTTTTTCTTGCAAAGATGAACGCACAGTGAGAACAAACCACGCCATGGTAACCAGGCATCCTCAGAAGTCTGCTCTCGGAAAACCGTGCTTATTTCAGGGATGCTGCCGCTGTTCCAAAGGTTTCTGGAACCTGCCTTAGGGATGCCTTCAGAACCACTAGAATATTCTTTAGAGCAGCCCCCATACCACCTAATCCTTGTTTTAGACTCAGTTTTTGAAACAGCCAAGGATCACCTAGTGCTGGTGAGCAGATGAAGAAAAGCTGAGAGTGTGGAGCCCCTCAGCATCCTTAGGGGACCCCCTCGGATGCCCCGAATGATGGCAGCACCCTGCAAACACCACCACTGTGTGACATCTGAGGGACGCTCAGGACCATCACCCACCGATCCAAAATACACTCACCAATGTGGTCCTACTCCTGTGGGGGGCCCAGCGGTGTGACCGTGCCACTCCTGACCTGCCTGAGGTCCCACAGCCAGGAAGTCCTGTGCCCCATGTGCTAACGCCTGATAGAGCATGCACCCACCTCGGCTGCTGCAGAAGCAGCAGGTAACTCAGTGTTTCCCAATTGGAAAAAGAAGGCGTGATAAAGTAGCCAGGGCTCTGGCCCTCAACATATGAGGGGCCCCTGCCTCCCTGGCTTCCCCGAAGGGTCAGTCATCAATTCCAGCATGTTCCCTGTGAGCTTCATGTCGTGTGGAGCCCCAGGAAGAGGCCTGGGTGCAGAAAGCTTCTGGGTGCTTCCTGGAATTTACAGTGGTTGAGATGGATGGAGCCCCTACAATGACCTGGTGGGACAGGGGTTCTCACTTGTTCTCTAAGACCTCTTACCTACTGAGCTCTTCCAGCCTGCAGATCCCCTCTCCCCACTCTGAATAACACAGGGTGACCAAGGTCAGAGCTGAAGGACAGGCGGCTGGTGCCATGTCCCAGGCGCGCTCCTGAGCTCCAGGCATCCAGAGACAGCGTGAGGCTCAATTACCTGATGTGCCCGCAGAGAAGTTCTTCAGCGAGGGCCTCTGGACCACAGTGTAGGACTCGCCGACCACAAACACCTTGTACAGGACGGCGTTGTGGTTGATGAAATTCTGGATCACGCAGGGTGGCTGGATGGCGTTCAGGCCCTCCTGGTTGAACACAATGGCCATCTGGGGAGACAGGGGGCCAAGGGCTTTGTCAGGGTCCACTACCGCCTCAGCCTCGACACAGGGCCACATCACCTGCCCAGAACACTGCCACCAAGGCCCATCCCTGGCCCAGTGGCATGAGGGCTCCCCAAGAAGTCTCCAGCCAGGGTGAGTGGAGTGGAAGCTGAGAAGAACACCTAGGGATGAAGGCACTCTGTCATGGTGGTTTGGAAATCCTACACCATCAGGTCTGCCATGTAGGGTCAAGCAGGCTGTGCACTGCACAACTCCACTATTCACACTGCATTCAGGAAAGGAACACCCCTGGGTTGTGTACTAATCAACCCTTCGGACCTCCGAGAGTTTCCTCCAAGAAGACTGGAGGGGTGAGGAGAGGGCAGCAGCAGGAAGCAGAAGACAATGGGTCAGGCGCTGGGAGGACTTGGGTCAAAGCCTGCTTAATGCCCACAGCTGCCTCCCGAGCGCCCATGACGTGCCTGGCCTTGTTCTAACACGACGTGAGGCACCTGCTGTCATCCTCACAAAGTGACCAGCGGGTGGGTCCTATCACCACATCTCTTTCTCAGATGAGGAAACTGAGGCCCTGAGATGCTTCATGACTGCTGGAGAGTGACAGGGCGCAGAATGGGATGGAGCCCAGCAGCACCCAGCCTGGCTGTCTTACACACTGAGTGAGCTACATGAGCACCTGAGAAATGGGAACGTGCTGCTCCCAGTCCCGACTCCTCTGAGGACCAAGCCTCCATCCTATAGGAGGGTCTGGCAGGGGACTGAGGTAGAGATGGGAAGAGGGCCGCTGGAGAAAACCTCTCCACTTTGGCTGAGGCTCAGTCTGCCCAGTAGAGCTAGCTGCCAGTGTCGGGGCCATGGCTAATCCCTCAGTCCACAGGGCCCCAAGAAGAAGCCACCGGATGCCCAGGGTTGCTGGGAGGGGATAACAGGGCTGCACAGCTGGCCGCCTACACTGGCTGACGCCCCTTACATCAACTGTCACCCCAGCGTGCCTGGCACTCAGCTGGGTAGGGCAGAAGCAGACACCCAGGCCGCATAAGGAAATAAAAAGCACGTGCGCGCATGCGTGTGCACCACAGGGACTGTCTCCTTAGCCCTCTGACGAAAGTAAGAGAACCAGACGTGAGTTCAAGTCCCAGCCCCGGCACTCACTGCATAAGTCATGTTTAAGCTCCAATTCCCTCACCTGTAAAACAGCATCAATAACCAACATGGGATAGTGTTGGGGGTCCTTATAGCTTATGGCTCAGTGGGGTTTTTTTGTTTGTTATTTTTAAGAGGGGGGTATTCCACTGTGGAGCAAACTAGCATGCTTACACAGGCTTAAAGCCGAAATAAGAAACCAAACCATCCTGCGAACATAAAATAAAAACAAACTAGTCCTGATTCTGGTTGAGCTAGGGACCGGGTGAATCAGAGGTAGGACTCGGGCGGGCTGGGTACCCAACCAGAAAGCCCTGCTTTCCTGTGTAAAGCTAATCACACGCACAGGGGAGTCCTGCGTCCTTGCTGCACTCAACACCCCTGGGCACCTCTGAGGTAGGTGAGTACCCCCCCCGACAGAGGGGGTGTCCCTCTGATGCTAACAGCCTCCCAGGAGGCAGGCGGCCCGTAGCACACACAAGCCCCCGCCGTCCCCCTCAGGAATCTGCAATCTGAACTCGGAGCTCTGTTCCTGACCCCCATGCAGAAGAGGAACCCCTCCCTGAAACAGCACGCAGTGGGTTGGGAGGGCCCGGGGGTCAGGTGGGGAGGAAAAAGGAGACGGCACACGTGTGTATCTTGGAGCCAGACTTGGACATCTGGACTGAGGGGAGAAACAGCTTCCCCTGAAGGCGCTGACCCCATGGAATCAAGACTCCTGAGGAGGGAGCTCACCTCGATCCAAGACCCCCACCCCTTCTGCAATGACCCGGCAGGTTCCAGGGCAACAGGTTCCACTGCAGCGGATCAAACACCTCCTGGGCCCCACGGCAGCACGTGTGGCCTTATCCTTCACAGCCACCACCAGCATAGCCCCAGTTACTAGTGTGGGACAGAATCTCAGAGAGGCTGGGTCATCTGCCCAAAGTCACACAGCTGGCACTGCCCAGAGCCAGACCTGGTCCCAGGCTGGTGTGATTCCAGAGTTCTCATGTGAACAACAGAAGTGGCTCCTTCCCAGCAGGCTGACCTGTTCTGCATCAGGCCAGTCTAATCACGTGAATGATTGCAATCATCTTTCTGTCCTGAAGACCCCAAGGCACTGACCAACAGGGGAAGTGTTTGGTGGTGAAAAGGGCTAGGTGGAAGGCTGGCAGGCAGGTGCTGCTGCCAGCGAGGGGAGTGTGGGTTCCAGGGACATGGTTTTGGCTGCACTGAAGCCTTCCTGCTCCCTCCCAGAGCACCAGACCAGGCAGGTTCCCAGAGAGACACCGTGTGCTGC